ATAGAAGCCGAGGCTGGGTGGCCATCTGTTGGGAGTGCTTTGATTGTATTCTCTCACAAAACCGAATGGAGTTTGGATTAGACAGGTCTTGTTAAACTTTTGCACCCATTCTTAAGTGGCTGAGGGAGAAAAAGAAAGCGTCTGAGGCTGTTAGGAATGGTGGGAGTTTTCATTCAAAACACCTGGAGGTGTTGATACTTTTTACTGTAATTTTCTTTTCTATTGTATATGTAAAATCTAATAAAATCTATTTTAAAAAAACACCTGGGGGGCCGAAGTTTGCCCATGCATGCTCTAGGTAGAACATGCAAGAGGAATGTCAGCCCATTTGAGCATGCATTTACATTGTAGATTTAATGTAGCAGAAGCACAAGCAGATCGGTGTCTTATGTCAGTGCTGTTACGAAGGAGGAGAGCCTGCCCATTGTGTTCATTGGGATGTCTTGTGTTTTCAGGGTCTTCTGGACTGCAAAGACACAGACGTATCTTTGCACAGGGTTGAGCGGACGCTGTCCCAGCCGGGCCAACAGACAACCTTCTGGCAAGTCCTGCAGGAGGAGGGCGGAAACGCCCAGGCGTTTGGTATGGGCAGCTCATATCCATGACTTTATGAAGTTGAGGGCCCTTCCACACAGCTGTATAAATCCACATTAAACTGGATTATATGGCTGTGTGGACTCCAGTCTAAAGCAGATTTTGGATTCTCTGCCTTGATATTCTGGGTTATATGGCTATGTGGAAAGGAGAATATATATATAGAGACCTGCACATTTGCAGATTGTATAATATGTGGATTTCATTTAAATGTTCTCCTTAGAAATCTCTAGATCCCCCAATATGATTCTGTGTCCAGCCTCCAGAAGATGTTGGCCATAGAGTTGTGTTGCAGGACCTAAGGATTCCTAAAATGGAGGCAGTTTGGCGCAAAGGACTCCTGAGTATGGACAGAATTCCTCTCTTTGTCTACAGGTGAGGAGAAGGCAACTTCACTTAAAGTGGAGGCGTCTCAACCTGGATGGGATGAGCTGGAGGAAAGGTCCGGGGCAGTGCCACTCATAAACCAAGGAAATGGACCATCAACGGTGGAGATGTGTGGAGAAAGAAGTGAGTCCAAGGGGGGAGAGGAAGGGGCTTCTGTGAGCTCCAAAGGAGGCAGGAAGTCTAGGCATTTCTTGTGGCAGGAAAAGGCTTAACAAAACCATGAGGCAGTAATTTGGGGAAGGCTCTCATTCTCCAAATGTGGTTGGAGGGATTGTCACAGAGTCTCCTGGGGAAAACCAAGAAGAGCATCTCAAAAGTTGACCCTGATCAACATCAAAGGATGCATAAAAGAGAAATGGTAGAAAGGAAAGCTGTA